AAGGTTATTAGGTTTCTGTACACGGCATATCTTTATTTTCCTTATTTCCCCTTCCCCTCCTCCTCACCCCTTGCCCTTGTTCCCTTGGATGTGTCCCATAAGTTGTGTATGCTGTACTAGCATTATCATTAAGTTCTAGCCGGGGATTTAGCTCAGTGGTTTGGTGGTCTGCCTTGCAAGTGCAAGGACCCGAGTTCAATCCCCGGTACTGGAAAAAAAAATCATTAAGTTCTAGAAATTGTCTTATTCCTTCCTTGATTTCTTCTGTAATCCATTGTTTAAGAGGTGTGGTGGTGCACACTTGCAATCTCAGCATTTGGAAGGCTGCAGCAGGAGGGTCGCTGAGAGTTCCAAGCCAGCCTGTGTAACATAGTGAGTTCAGGGCCATACTTAACTATAAAGCAAGACTCTGTCTCAGAAAAGAAAACAAAGTGTGTTGTTTAGTCTCCATGCATTTGCATAACTTCTGTAAAAGAAAACAGTTTCCAACCCAGACTGGTATATCTTGCAAAACTAAATTTCAAAAAAAAAAAAAAAACCCTAAATTTCAAAATTGATGAAATATTTTATTATGTGCTGCTGAAGCAAGCACTACTAAATAAGGTATTTTTATGATAAAGAGCATCTAAAGAAATTCATAATTTCTAAATTGTCATTGACTAGTTTTACAGCACTATGATCTATTAATAAGCATAATTTCAAATATTTTACATTTACTTAAGCTTGCTTTATTTTATTTATTTATTTTGGTACCAGGGATCAAACTTGGGATCTTGTGTTTTCAAGGCAGGTGGCAGAACCACTGAGCTGAATCCCCCACCCAAGCTTGCTTTATTGACTAGTATGTGAAAGAAGATGAGCTGAAACAGGAGCACCCAAGACAAGGCTTTATTGGGGGAAGGAGTTGCCGGGCTGTCTTAAACAATGGCTAGAGAGAGTAAGACTAACTGGGGTGAGGTTTAAATAGGGGCAGTGCAGTTGGGGGGGAGTATCATGAAAGTTGAGAGTTGGTTGGGGTGTTGGGCAGTCAATAGGAAACCACGTGATTGAAAGGAGAGGATCATGCAGGTAGCAGGGTGGAACAACAAGTTAGGTTTTGCTTCTCCAGAGGGAGTAGGCTTCACTTTTCTGTAAGCAGGAACCATTTTAGGGATGGGAGCCATTTTAGAATGTAGGACTGTTGGGACCATCTTAACTGGTAGAGAACTCCATCAGTATGTGGTCTACTTTGGAAAAAGTTCCATGTGATTCTGTGAAGAATGTGTATTCTATTGTTGGATGGAACACTATAGATATCTATTGAGTTCATTTGTTCAAAGGTTCTATTCAATGCTGTTATTTCTGTTCATTTTTTTCTCAAATCTATTTTGTGATAGTAGGATATGGAGGTCCCCACTGTAATTGTTTTTATGTTTATCTTGTCTTTTGTGTCCAGTACTTGTTCTATGATATTGGGTGTGCTATTGTTCAGTGCATACATGTTAAGAATGTTCTCTCTTCCTGTTGGATTTTTCTCTTAACCAATATATAGTGACCTTCTTTGCCTCTTTTGATCAGTTTTGGCTTGAAGTCTATTTTGTGTGAATATAGGATAGCTACACCTGCTTTTTTGGGGGGGTCCCATTCCATGAAATGTTGTTTCCTATCCTTTGATTTTTACTATAAATTTCTTTTTGGCTTAAATGTTTCTTTCTCTCTCTTTTTTTTTTTTTTTTTTTTTTTTTTGTACTGGGGATCAAACTTGGGACCTTGTGCTTGCAAAGCAGGCAGTGGAACCACTGAGCTAAATCCCTGGCCTCTTAAATATGTTTCTTGTACACATCATACCATTGGATTTTGTTTCTTGCCCCATTCTGCCAGTCTGTTTTTTAACTGGGGAATTGAGACCATTCACATTAAGAGTTATTACTGATAGGTATTGACTTATTCTTGCCATTGCATTATTTTCCTGTTGTTGATCATGTCTTTCCTTTCTACTTAACTGCTCAACCCACATGATGTATTCATTCTATTAGGCCTATTGTCATTATTAGCTTCATAACCTATTTCTAGGATATCCTTGAGTTTTTGTTTTGTTTTGTTGTTTGTTTGGTAGTGCTGCTTTTGTCGTCATGATTTTCTTTAGGTGCTCTTTATCATGAAAATATTTATCCATCAATTTTTAAAGATTATTTTGCAGGATATGTCAGTCTGGGTTGGAAATTGTTTTTTTTTTTTTTTTTTTTTTTTTTTTTTTTAGGGCTTGAAACCCTTCACTCCGAGCTCCCCTGGCTTTAAAATTTGTGTTGAGAAGTCCACTCTAATTCTAATGGGTTTACCTTTATAAGTGATTCATTGCTTTTCTCTAACAGCTTTAAGATTCTGTGCTTTGTTGGATTTCTGGAATTTTGATTATGATATGTCATGGAGAGATTCTTTTCTATCATGGCTATTTGTTTTATGTCTCACTTGTTTTTACATGAATTTCTTTTCCCTTATTTGGAAAGGTTTCTATTATTCTAGTAAACATTTTTTATGCTACTTGTGTTGTCTTATTTTTTACCAATTCCAATTAATCTTAGATTAGTCTTCCTTGTGTCATCTATGAGCTGTTGAGTCAGTTGTTTATGTTCTCTTTTTGTTTTTAAGGTATCTCTCATTAATTGGTCTCTGGGAACAGCTCTGTCCTCTAGTTCTGACACTCTGTCTTCATATTGATCACTTCTGTGGTCCACACTTTTGATAGAATCTTCAATCTCCTAAATTTGGAGCCTTTTATGGATTCTTACTTCCTTTCTATGCTGATCACTCATATTTTGCATCATTTTGTTTAGCTCTGCTAGCTCTTTAGTAGTGTCCTCTGTAGACTTGCTGATTATTTTATTTGGCCCAGTATCTGTTTACTTAGGGTTGGGCTTGCCAAATGCCCTATTGATCTATTTTGTTATCCCCCCTTGATAATTTGGGTGTGTAGCTTTTGGTTTCCTCCTGTTTGATGCCCCATGTATTAGCTCTGCAGGAGCTGGGAGCTTTTGGAGGCATTTTGTTGGCTTGTCTTCTCATGTTTGTATTTTTTGGGTTTTTTTTTTTTGTTGAGGCTTGTAGGTTAATTATAATGGAAAGCTTTGTTTCTAGTATGAAGACCTCTTTAGCTAACTGTCTACTTTCAGTGTTTTCTTCTGGGTTGTGGCTATTAGCTTTGCCTCTGTCCCAGATCCAACCACCTCTGTTTACTTGTGATGGGAGGGTCCAGAGTATTTGGCCCAGTACCCAGTTCTCCGAGAATGGGCCACAGTATTGCTAATGACCCCAAAGCAATCCAGATATTGGCATCCCAAGAAAACCAACTGTTTGCTTTTCTTGCCTTTCTAAGTATAAAATAAGCTGTATATATATTGTAGAAAAAAACAGGTTAAACTATGTTTTCCTTCGGCAAAGTATCCATTTATTTCAAATTAACTTAGTGGTTAGTTTCTAGTTGAACATTTTAAAGATTTACATTCAGAAATGTTGCTTTCCTGAAAATAGTCCCTCAAGTAATATCTCAATTCTCTATCACTTTCTTGGGATCTTCTACCTCTGAATCATACACAATTTTAATAATACACACAATTTTAGCAATTTACTTTACTATAAAATCAATCATTTAATCTAGGTTCTTAAATATGCTATGCTAAAGCTAAATGTTAGTCTCTAATTTTTTTAAATTTCTCCTGATTATATGGTTACACTTTATCTCTCAATCCTATTGTCAATTTTTAATTTTCTTTTCCTTAATCAAGCTCCAAGGCTTAATGCTGTTTTCAAATGAATGAGCATTTCAATTTCCCCATTTTTAATTTTTGTTTCATTAATTAAATTTTGCCTGCATTAATCACTTTACCTTGTTTATTATGCCTTATTTTAGTATGCTTTAAAAATGTATAGGACTAGGGCCGGGGATTTAGTTCAGTGGTTCCGCCGCCTGCCTTGCAAGCACAAGGTCCAGAGTTCAATCCCCGGTACGTGGTGGTGCACGCCTTCCAGGTCAGTCTCAACTACATAGTGAGACCCTGTCTCAAAAAGCCAAAAAAAAGTATAGGACTGAGGGGGCCAGGGGTTTAGCTCAGTGGTACCAATGCCTGCCTTGCAAGCACAAGGTCCCAAGTTCGATCCCTGTTACCAAAAAATATATATAGGACTGGGGATGCACCTCCCAGGTAAAGCAATTGCATTAGCATGCATAAAGCCCTGGGTTCAAGCTCCAGCACAGTAACTAAATAAATAAAGTGTACTAAATTTTCTTAAGATAATTTTTAATTCTTTTATAACTTTATTCCTTAATAAGAGATAATAAAGGTATTTTCAGGTGTAGGTGTTATTAGCGCCACATATTTTACCAGACGTGTTCTTTTTATTTCCTTCTACGGTAGGTGATTTGTAACTCTGTATTTGATCTCTTTTGCTGGTTTGCTCAGATTCTAGCACAGTCATTTTTCCTTTGTCAATATTATACTTTTCTGTTCTCATAATGGTTACCCTTCCTACAACTCAAAATCAGATGCATCTTTCTCAAGAAAGCAGTAATTTCCCCTATCAACAAGTCCTATTTTCCCTACAATAAAATGAGACCTATAAATTTTTCTTTCTTCTCCCCGTCCCCTATGGGAGTATTTTCGCCTTGAGAGGATACGCTCGTCGGCTGTGACTCTCTGGGAAGATCTGGGAAGATGTACCTAGAAAACAACACAAAGGTGTTGCCATGACCAAGACTAGAGTTTCCCCGGCATTTCTCTCGGCTGGGGGCCCCTGGAGGGTGCAATTCACAGAGAAGTGAGACCAGTCAAACTTGGTCTACAGGCAGTCTCCCGCCTCTACCTCATTCAAGAACCACAACTCCCAGAGGACTCCTCAGTACCTGTCAGCCTGCAGTCCAGGAACACGGGGGTCGCGTCCGCTTCCTCCCTCTTTAGACTGAGTCCTCAGACAGCCGCTGACGGCGCGGAGGCTTCTGGGAGATGCAGTCGTGTTGCGGTTGCGCAGGCGCGAACCTGCCGCTGAGGCTGGGGGAAGCAGCGCGGTGCGTGGCTGTACCCGATGGAACCCTCTGGTCCTGTTGGGTGAGTCTTGGCGGCGGCCACCTGGAGGTCCATCTTAGTGGCCTGGCTACTTTTGCTGGTCAACGCATGCAGTGGCAGTTCTGCTACGAGCAATTCTGCTACAAGCAGCTCCGCGGAATTGTGCGAACAAGGGTTTGGGTCCCCATGAACCCACGACCAGTGCCTGCGCTGCATCACGTGCTGGGGAGGTCCCCTGTCCTTTTCTTTTCGTTAGGGCCCAAGGGGGAAAAGTGAAAGGTGAGAATGAGGTGTTGTACTGGTCTGCACCACAGATCCTCCCCTGGGCTTTGGGGCAGTTACCTGGCAAGGCCAGGCGCAGAAGTTCAGCCGGGCTCTGGATCCACCAGAATATCTCCCTGAAACACTCGGCTGTGTGTTTGTCCCTGCGCCTTCTTTGTCCTCAGCCAGAAGTATCTCTGTGTGCTGCTTTAACGACCTCAGGGTAGGTCTGCCTCTACCCGGTTAGATACCCCTGACTCTGTACTCTGTCTCAGAGCAAGCTTCTTGCTGATAACTGCCCTAAAATAGGGTTCTGCTTCAAATCCTGGGGATTTGCGTTTTCTTTTGCCATAGCACTACTAACACGATTTTGAGAAAAGGTGGAGGGGTCATCTGGAAGAAGTCTGCCTCCCCCGCACCACACAGTGAAAGCTAATCAGCCCAGGGCTTGGAATCTGCACACGTGGGTTTTGTTTCATACTTGCTTCTTCACAGTGGTCACATCTGTCTTCACCAGACTGCAGGTTTCTCAGAAGGAGTGACTAATGGAGCAGGGTCCAAGGGAGGACAGGAGGAGAAAGAGGGAGTGAAAGGTATTGTACAGGGTTTGACCCTTTATAGCTACCAAGTATGTGTTTAATGAATGATGGGGAAGTGACCAAAAAAAATTTCTTCTTGTTACAGGGTAGCTCTAAAAGATTGCACCTGATGTGGACTTTCTGCAAACCTAGTCACTGACAGCAGCTGAAACTGATGCTTCAGGATACACAGGAACAAGAGATGATGATGATGTTGGAGCCGAAGGAAGAGGAGCATTCTTGGGAACATGAAACCAAGCTATCAGGGAACCACTCTACCAGTCAAGAGATCTTCCGCCAGCGCTTTAGACAGCTCTGCTACCAGGAGGTTCCTGGTCCCCGGGAGGCCCTGAGCCAACTACGGGTACTCTGTTGTGAGTGGCTGAGGCCAGAGAGACATACCAAGGAGCAGATCCTGGAGTTACTGGTGCTGGAACAATTCCTGACCATCCTGCCTGAGGAGCTCCAGTCCTGGGTGCGGGGACATGACCCTAAGAGTGGAGAGGAGGCCGTGACTGTGTTGGAAGACTTAGAGAAAGGACTTGAACCAGGACCGCAGGTGGGAAGGGGGATTTGATCTGTTGTGGGAGCCAGATTAGTGACCTTCAGGCTGGACAGAGGGGCAGCAGTAGGGGAAGTTGCCAAGGTAGAACAGTTAGTATGTGTTTCTGTCTCTGTCTTTTCTGCCTTCAAGCTTTGAATGAGAAAGAGACTCTTAACTCCTCTTCCTTCCCCTGTGCTGACTCTAAGGAGGCTCTCTAAAGTCTCCTTGGAAGCATTGGTCCCGCATAAACCGAGTGGTGCCTGATCACCTGCAGGTTCCAGGCCCTGCACGTGGACCTGCACAGGAAGAGCCATGGGAGAAGAAGGCACCTCTGGGACCAGAACAGGAGGCAGCAGGCATCCAGCTCCAACCTAAGAAGACCCAGCTCAAGTGTGAATTTCAGGAGACCCAGCCATGCCCAGAGAGTGGTGAGGAGCTGAATTCTGGGGAGGGAAAGGAGGAAAAGAGAGTAAAAGACAGTGTCTAGTACCTTATAAAGGTCATATATTAGGTGTTACGTTTGCTCTAATTGTTATGGTATTTTCATACCTCTTACCTGAGTTAGCCTGTCTTATCATCCTAAAAATAGGAATAAGGATAATCTACCCTGGGGTTTGAAGTTTAGCTCAGTAGTTTAGCACTTGCCTAGCAGGTCAGAGCTCCTAGGTACAGTCCCCATCACCACTCCCCACCAAAAAAGAAAAAGAATAACTTACCTCATAAGATAGTTCTGTGGACATCTAACTTATGTCTGGCTGTAAAGACTGACAAGCATTTCTAAGTTTTAGGGAACACTAAAGCAGGACCACAAAATGTTCATTCACTTGGTGCTTCTTCATCTCTATTGCTCTTGACATCTAGTCCATAAGAGCTCTGCCCTGAGCTAGAGATCAGCCTTGAAATATTTTCCTTTTAGCTTCCTCGTAGTCCCCAAAACACACTTTTTTTGTTTTTTTGGGTACTGGGGATCGAACTTGGGTCCTTGCACTTTTGAGACAGGCAGCGGCACCACTGAGCTAAATCCCTGGCCCCAAAACACACTTTTTAAAATTTATAAAGCACTCTTATTAGAGACACGACCCTGTCATCTTTACCACCCTCCCCCATTACCATCTAAAATCTTATTTGAGACTCCTTTATATCTATACTTAACCTTCTACCCTTCGGATTAATTATGGAAACATCCTCCTTAGTCTACACACAGCCCCCAAACATCATCCTCTCACCACAAGGCTGGCCACAATCTCTAGGCACTAGGAAGAAAAAAAGGGAAAGCTCTCTTTTCTTGCTTTTTAAAGGAACTGATCAAAGGGAAAAAGAAAGCATGGACAGATGGAAGGCAGGGTGCTGAGTTCTCCCTTTGAGGAGCTAGCTACATGACACTCCTTTTCAGCATCTGGAGACTTACAGGGAATGGATATGAATGGAACAGGTGAAGACAACAGAGCTAGGAAAGGCACTTTTGCCTTTAGGACGTCCTTTTTCCTAACCCTAATGATTCTTCTGTCATGTTTTTCCCTTCTTTTCCAACATCAGTTGACCACTCCCCAGTTGCTTGAAAGTACTTTTTCTCTTATTTTTTTAAGAGTGAATTGTTAAGACCCTGCTTTGAAACTTACTTTATCTTTAGTGCACTTTTTAAGTATTCTACTATGGAATACTTTAAAAACCTATATAAGAATGAGGATAGAAAAAAAGAAAGAAAGAAACCCTCTCCTCTGCACAATCCCATCGCCAGAGAATAACCATTGATAATATCTAAGTAAATATCCTTCCAGTCTTTGATATATATATATAGAGAATATTTTTAAGTTTTTATTTTCATCTCAGGTGTTTAAATCCTAACCTGTCATTTTTCCACACATCCAGAACAGGTACACATACATTTTCCATTAGTTGCTGCAGAAGATGTTCCAGAACTCAAGGACAAAGGATCACTGCCACAGCCACGCATTACTAAAGTGGAATCACACATGTTTTTGGAAAACCTTGCCACTGACACCTCTACGTTTGAAGCTACCTCAGAAGTTAAGGGCACCTTAGAACAGCAGCAGAGAAATCCCAAAGCAAAAAGACCAAGGCCATCCCCTGCTCAGAAAAAAAGTTTCAGACAGGTGGTTGGCACCCATAAGAAAACTCCTACAGGGAAGAAAGACCATGAATGTAGTGAATGTGGGAAAGCCTTCATTTATAATTCACATCTTGTGATCCACCAGAGAATTCATTCTGGAGAGAAACCCTTTAAGTGTAGTGACTGTGGAAAAACTTTCAATCAGAGCTCAAACCTCATTCAGCATCAGAGAATTCATACAGGAGAGAAACCCTATGAATGTAATGAATGTGGGAAGGCCTTCAGGTGGGGTGCTCATCTGGTTCAGCATCGGAGGATTCATTCAGGAGAAAAGCCTTATGAGTGTAATGAGTGTGGGAAGGCCTTCAGTCAAAGCTCATATCTAAGTCAGCATCTAAGAATTCACAGTGGGGAGAAACCTTTTATATGTAAAGGATGTGGGAAAGCTTACAGATGGAGTTCAGAGCTTATTAGACATCAGAGAGTTCATAATAGCAGGGATCCTTCCGAGTGTACTGAAGGTGAGAAAGTCTCCAGACAAACTTGTACTTTTGTCTAATCTATTTAGAACTAGCGCCCATAAAAGTGTTAAGCACCTTAAGGTTTTTCCTGTGTCTTTCTTGATTTAGGAAAAACTACATAGTGTCACCTGCACATTTTATTACTTTCTATCTTTTGACTAAGATGCCTTTGGCTACAAATATTAGTCAATTTGTGCTGCTGCTCCTTTGTGGCATAAATTTGAACAACTTCCTGAGCTGCTGCCCACTAATAAAGTAAGGATAGTAATGTCTATTTCAGAAGAGTTCTATTCCTGGCACAGAACAGCTGGTCAAGCAGGGATCATTATATTCAAATTTTCTTGTGAAATTTTTGGTCCTGTCTCTTTCTCAGACCTATATTAGTCTGTGTCCTGGAACACGGTTACCTTTAAATGTCCAGACAGGAGTTGGAAACCACACTAGTGAATTAAACGGAAAGCCGATAAAAAAAAATTAAGTAGTAAAGGGGGGTTATATAATAAAGGAGTTAATGAGATCTCTAAAGAATATAAGAATAGCGGGACAGGATACAGCTACTACCTGTAGGGCTGAGGAGAATATTCACTAAAGAAGTGCTTAGAAGCCCCCATCCACCAACTCCTGCCCAAGATTGAAATTCAGACCTCATTGGACAGGGTATGCTGTTCCAGAGGTATGCTAGAACCAGCTTGCAAAAGCCAGTCTTGCATATTTCCTCCCAAATCTGCCATGAAATTAGTTGTGGTGAGAATATTCACACCGTGCAAATCAGCAAATCCAACAAAGCAGAGAAGTTTTGTTTCTGAGCTGTTTTAACTATTTGCCAACACAATACTGGCTACAGCACACGGGGATTTCACTAACATGAAAAGGCCAAGACTGGTGAGCAGGAAGCCAATAATTTAGCTGCAGGTGAAACTCCCCAGAGGGTGTGTGCTTCTGGATCTCCTGTACACCAGTAATAGCTGTGTTACAAGATCAAGACAGAAAAAAACAGAACTTAAAAACAACCCTTCCTCTTTGCCTTGTCCCTTCAGTACCCTTTACTGACAAAGCCTAACATTATGCCACCTGAAAAAAGGAAAATCTATCACTTTGTTTTGCTTTATCATAAGCAAAACAGAGATTTGGAGCTAGGAGACAATAGATTGATCACTGGCCCACATTTCAAGCTCCTTCCCACCTTAAGACCTCTGTCCTTGTTCTTTACCCCCTGCCTTCACGCTTTCTTTGTAGTTACATAAGTCACACTCTTTACCTAGATCTGTATTTCAGTGTTAGCAGACTTTCCTAACTAACAGATTTATTTCTCTCACATAAACTTCCAGAGGTAGCAGTTGATCAGTAAGTTACAGCTTAAGGGTCAAGTTAAATCCACCTGCTTGTGTATGGTGTACAATGAATGCTAAGAATGATTTTTACATTTTTAGGTATTTAAGAATTAGGGATTGAACCAGGAGTCTCTGCACTGAGCTATAGCCCCAACATTTTTAAATTTTTTGACAGCCTCCCTAAATTGCCCAGGCTAGGCTCGAACTTGTATTCCTCCTGCCTCAGCCTCCCAGAGTGCTGGGATTACAGCTGTGTGTCAGTGCACCCACCTTGGGCTAGTATGTTTTTGTGTGGATGAAATTGGGTCATTACCATATCCATATTGCAGGTTATAGTAAAATTGAAATAATAGTCACAAGAAAATGATTTCCCTTCCAGTCAGCATCATGGAATGTGACCCAGTCCCTTGGTGAGAATTCAACTGCATGACCACATCCATCTTCCAGGGAGGTTAGAGAACATTTCTAGCAGGATGGCCATTTGCCCAATTAAAACTATTACTTTGAGCCAGAGTAGTGGTACACACCTGTAATCCCAGCACTGGAGAAGTAGCAGGAGCATGCCATGATTTTGAGGCCAGGCTGGGCTACAGGGTGAGTTCAAGGCTAACCTGAACTACATAGTGAAACCCTGTCTCCAAAACAAAACAACTATTACTGTGGGGAAGAAGAAAGTAATTTGGGGAGATGGTGAGGAGCCTTCCACTCCAGGAGACATCATCACACTTCTGCAACCCAGTTGTGCTGATTGATGAGGAAAGGAGAGTGTTGGTCCCAGAAGACAAAGCTGGATGCTGGGAAGCAGGATGGAATAAGAGGTCAAAAATATGGATTAGAATGCTGGCCTTCTTAGCCACTCCAGAAATATTCTGACTGAAGAACCCTGTATTCCGCATTCGGAAGAGGTAAAACCAGAAAAGGTTCAGGCCCAGTCTGGGCAACTTAGCAAGACTTTGTCAAAACTTTTTTTTTTTTTTTTTTTTTGGATTGGGGATGGAACTCAGGACCTTGTGCTTACGCGGCAGGCTGTAGAACCACTGAGCTACATCCCCAGCCCCTATCAAAACACTTTGTAAGTTGGGGATGTAGCTCAGTACAAAGGCTCTGGGTTCAATCCCTAGTTCTAGGGGAAAATATGCTGACCTGAAACCATCTCTTGCCTTTGTTAAGTGCAAAACAAGCTATTGCAGCAAATGTCTTGTGTGCTTTGTTTGTATCAAGAACTAGTTCTTATCCTTGAGGGAGTCTTGGGAGGTAAAGGTACTCTACTTGTATAATAATTGGTTCCTTTTTCTGTGTCTATAAGTGCCTTGTGCACATGTGCACTTTGGAATTCATTCTGATAGCAGAAGGTTCCCAGTTTTGCAGCTGAACAAGTAAACTGATTTGCAAAAATTGTGGTCTTTAGCCAGGCGTGGTGGCACACACCTGTAATCCCAGGACTCGGGAGGCTAAGGCAGGAGGATTGCTGTGAGTTCGAGACCAGCCTAGGCTACATAGTGAGTTCCAGGTCAGTCTCAACTACATAGTAAGACCCTGTCTCAAAAAAAGCACCCCCCCAAAAAAAAAACAAAAATTGTGGTCTTTGGGCTGGGGATTTAGCTCAGTGGTGCCACTGCCTGCCCTGCAAGTCCAAGGTCCTAAATTCAATCCCTAGTACCAAATTTTTTTTAAAAAATTGTGGTCTTTTGTCCACAGCAGAGACAAAGGGAAACAAACTCTTCTTTATCTTGGGAAGCTAATTGGGATCCTATGTGTGCTTTATAAATACCCTAAGGAGAGATTTTACAACAAAGACACTAGTAAATATTGGTGACCTGGTCTTGAGGAAGTGGACACTCAAGTACTTTGTGGGCAGATACACTGGGATTGTTGAGAAATATGCACTCATCCTCTGCCTAACACATAGAGTTTCTTGTGTGTTCAGCTTCATATCTGGGAAAAGCTCTCCATCAAAAAAAAAAATGCAAAGTATGCATGAGTGAAGCACTTTTATATCCAAAGGAAGAGAAAAATATGTTTATGAGAGTTTTAGTCAACTCCTGATCCCATCTTCAGGGATCATACGCAAAGTCTTTTAACAATGAAACCAAAGTTGTGGGATAAGTGCTGTTAGAAAGTTTTCATTTACATTTTAGTTTTATCTGACATTTCATCATACCTATTTCTTTGACTCCACCAGAAAAATCTCCTAAGTGGAAACAGGCAAGGGCCCTGCCTAGATAATGAAGACGTCTGTTAGAGGAAGCCACTGGCGAAGCACTAGCAGATTGAATTTGAACATTTGATTTAGCAGGATCCTTTCACTAGTCCATCCTCCTGCTGCCAGGTTTTCTCCGTACCGTGGCTTTCCAGGGTGTGGCCACTGAGTACGGTGGCTCCTTCAGAAATCACTGTGAGAACAGACTGGAAGAGGGGTTGAGAAGCGTAGAGAGAGCTCAACAATTCTTTCTTAAATATCTTAAGAGGGCTGAAGCATTTTTTCTTTTGTTCAGCAGAGCTGCAGTCTGCATTGTATCAACACCACCTAATGAGCACACTGCTATATATCGTAGTTGGTAGAACCCATCTTAATAGCAGTAATCACGTTAGTGATGGTGTGTGGATTCTTGAGGCAAGCAGCCAGTACAAATCCGAAGTCCAGTACCAACTAGCTGTTCATAAGGAATCAAGAACCTGGCAATAGGAGGGGTTTTCTGAGATGCAGGGGCTCTGTTTGATAAATACATCCTGTGTACCAGGTCCTTCACATTCCTGGTCACATACACGAACACAGATGGTCTCTCCACCTACCTTCATCAGGAAGTTCTAACCAGTGTAGTAGATGTAGCTCTGTGTGTGCCACCAAGATTCACCCAGCTGTCATCATAATCTCCCAGGAATTGTCCTATGCCAAAGGAAGAAGCCTCCGATTGGGTTATGTCCCCTCCTAGGGGAATCCTGCATCTAATCCATGGGAGTGGGGAGGTGACAGCCCTGGTAAGTATCACTGACAGGCCTTCCCAGATGTCTCCGAAGTTGATGGATCCTCTTGCAGCTGCATCACTATTTAACTTCTCCTTCTGCCCATCCAGTGACCCTTTTCTCTCAGGCATTCCCAAGAGCTTTCCCCAATAAATAACCACTCACTCCTTCTCAAAGTCTTTTTCCCAGAAATCTCAACCTATGAAATTACGCAGCATCAAATAAGCAGAGTAAATAAAGATGTGAATGAGGGAGAGGCAGATGACATTGCCTGCACTTTTAAGTCACTAATTTTCAAGAAAAGCCGCAAATCCCTACCTACCCTCCTGTTTGTCTGTCAGTGTTTTCATAGACACATGTCCATCGAGCAAGTTCACAGTAAAAAAGTCTTTCCCCAAAAGATGTTTACTACCAAGGGAAGGGTAGGAGGTAAGGGAAGAAGTAACAGGAACTTACACATCTTGGGGTCTGTGTCTTGACAAGATCCTCCTGTGAGAGCAGATCTGAAAGAAGGGGCAATCCAAATTTAGCACTTAAGGATGGGGAGGGTTGAGAAAGAAGAGGTGTTCAGGGTGGGGAAGAGGGAGTCCCTGGGTGGGAAGTGAGAGAAACTTTTTGGTAAACCTGTTGAGCTCGGTGCAAGGAACAGAAGCATTAAATAAGGGCAGAGTGATAAACTGAAATTTAGCATAGGTGATGGGTTTGTGGACTGTGGATTTTGGATTTTTAAGAACAGTGGGGAGTGATTAATGGGGAGTGACACCATCAGTTAGTTATTCAGTTGTGACCTTGAGAATATCACTTAAGCTTCAGTGTGAAAACCAGAATTTTAAGAGGCTGTTGCAATAACTCCTGAGTAATAAAGTTTTCTGAACAGGGTGTGGCCGTGGGGAAGAAAAAAATTAAAAGATATGAAGGGGGGGCAAGATCGGTAGACTCAGTGGGGTAGATCTGATTTTGCCAGGCAAAAAGCAGCCCCCTCCCTCTCTAGACTCAGTCTCTTATGCTCCAGGCCAAAGAGTGAAGTGGCTCCAAGTTTCCCTTCCAGGAACCTGGGGCTCTGACCAAGGTCCTATTCTGCAGGCCCTTCCCAGGCACTTGCCTCTGTACACACCCGAGGGGACCTTAAGTAATTGCTTGGGCCTGGGCTCTTGATTCCTGGAAGGCCACAGTTAGCAGAGGGCTGCCATGTGGACAGCCATGGGGGTCGCAGAGGAGAGCTGCTGACCAGGGAGCCCATGGTTGGGAAGGCTTCCAGCTGTGGTAAACAGTTGGGCTTAGGGTTAAGGGAATCAGTCTGCCTGGGAGCCTTGTTTCTCTTCTCACAGGCACCTGAGAATTACTGAAGGCTGTGCTTCAGTTGCACTACCAACATAAACAAGTAGGCTTTAAAGCCAGTAATAGTGGCACACACTTTTAATCCCAGCACTCTGGGAGGCTGAGGCAGGAGGATCGCAAGCTTGGACCGAACCTAAGCAATTTAGCAACTTAGCAAGAATGTGTCTCCAAATTAAAAAAAAAAAAAAAAAAGGCTGGGATGTAGCTCAATGTGAAGGACTTGGATGCAATATTGAGTACCACCAAAAGGAAGAAGGAAGAAAAAATAGGCTTTATATTATGTTACAGATGAAGAACACATTAAGACATTAAATGACTTCCCTAATGCTACATAATTTTTAAGTAGCAGAGCCTAGATCTGGACCTAAGTATGATTTTGAAGCTTGTATACATAGTATTCTTTGTTTATTCAACAAAACTGCAAGGAAGAGGACAAAAATGTAGAATCAGTTTCACATTTCTAACTTGATATAGGGCAAATCAAACACTGTTCAGGTCAACAATGTTTCCTAGACAGGTGAGAGCTGGGTCCAAGTGACCTGACTACATTCTGCTATCCAGGGACCCATGTAAAATTAATAGTCCTGGGGATGTAGCTCAGTGGCACTGCGCCTACCTGGCAAGCACAAAGTCCTGAATTCAACACCTGCTTCCCCAATAAATAAATAAATAAATAGTTCTCATTTGAAGATTATTTCCTCTTAATTTCACAAATGAACAATGAGAAGTTAAAGTCTTTGTGGGTTTTTGGGGGTTTTTTTTGTTTTTTGTGTTTTTTTTTGTTTGTTTGTTTGTTTGTTTTTTGGTTTTTTGAGACAGGGTCTCACTATGTATTTGAGACTGCCCTGGAACTCACTATTTAGCCCAGGCTGGTCTCAAACTCACAGTGATCCGCCTGCTTCAGCTTCCCGGGAGCTGGGATTACAGGTGTGTGCCACAACACCCAGCTGAGAAGTTAAAGTCTTTATTTCAGAAATAAAAGCTCTGGGGCCAGGGATTTAGCTCAGCAGTTCCATGGCCTGCGTTACAAGTGCAAGGACCCAAGCTCAATCCCTGATACCAGAAAAAAAAAAAAAGAAAGAAAGAAAGAAAAGCTTTAAAAGAGACCTGTCACCCCCAAAATAACCATAAACAAACACCTTATAGATCAAATGAACAAATCTAAATACAAGAGAAAGACTTACTTCTAGCCATGATACGGTGACAAGGACTGGATTTATCATCCCACTTTAGACAATTAAAAGGCCAGACAAAATGTACAAAACAATGGTTTTTCTGACACTGGGCAGTTGGTTGTGCAGGACAGTGAGCCCCAAGAGAGGGAAACAAGTCCAAGCAGTGGCCCGCAGACTAGGGAGAGTTTCCAGACTGTGGTGGAGGCAGGGAGGGGGAACCCAAACAGCAGCCAAACCCATGAATTGAAAAACAGAACTGAGAATTCAGAGGCCAAGGCAGAACAGGCACCAGAGAGGAGAGACTTGAACAAATTGGCAGAAGTTTGCTCAATCCTTTGGTGAGGACTGACCATCACCTTTGTGGGCAGGGACATGAGGCCAGTGAAAGAACCACTGGAGGGCAACCATTCCAGACCACTCCTGTCTTTCAGGAGCTATTTCTATTCCCCAATAAATTTTCCTACTCTATAAAAAAGAAAGAAAGAACCACTGGAAAGGACTAGTAGGATTATTGGTGTGCACACAGGCCTGGGAATAATTTGCACTCTAAAGAACCCAAGTTGGGGGGGCTTTGTGATACACGGGCTGTCAGTTACTCAGAAGGATGCTGCTTCAGTGAAGGGGCCACATTAGCACAATACTAAAGGCTGCTCTCTTCCTACTTAGCCAAGCTTAAAATCAAACTAAACTGGGCACTCACCCATAGTCCCAGCTACTTGGGAGGATGAGGGAGTAGGTCACTGGAGCCCTGGAGTTCAGGATCAGCACAAGCGATAGAACAAGATGCTATCTCAGAAAAAACAAACAAAAACCAAATTGTTTCCAAATATCTGCGCTCCAGGACAAATAAATAGCTGCGTTCCAGGACAAACCTCAAAAATATTTAAAGGAATTAAGAAAAAAACAAAACAAAAACACCCAAGACACATGATTTATGATCCCTAGCATACAATCAGAAATGAAAGGCATACAGGCCAGGGACTCACCTAATTGGTGCCACTTCCTTGAAAGTGCAAGGTCCAGAGTTCGATACCCAGTATCAAGAAAAGAAGAGAAAGAAAGAAAGAAAGGCATGCAAAAAACCCTCCAGGAAAATGTGACCCATAATGAGAAACAATTATTACCAGAAATATCCAGAAATGGCACAGCTCATAAAATTAGTATACAAAGACATTTAAAAAGCTATTGTATCCCACACATTCAAGAAGTTAAAGGAAAATATGAGCATTTAAGGAGATGTAAAGAATATATATTATATATGTGTGTATATGTTTGTTTGTTTTTTTAGACAGTCTCGCTATATAGTTCAGATTGGCTTTGAACTTACTGTGTAGCCCAAGCTGGCCTTGAACTCATGGTGATCCTCCTGCCTCAGGCTCCTGAGTGCTGGGATTTTAGGCATGTGCCACCATGCCCAGCTAGAATATATTTTAAAAGACCCAAATTGTGATGAAAAATATGAGTGTATATGTTTGTTTGTTTTTTTAGACAGTCTCGCTATATAGTTCAGATTGGCTTTGAACTTACTGTGTAGCCCAAGCTGGCCTTGAACTCATGGTGATCCTCCTGCCTCAGGCTCCTGAGTGCTGGGATTTTAGGCATGTGCCACCATGCCCAGCTAGAATATATTTTAAAAGACCCAAATTGTGATGAAAAATATGACAGATTACAAAAAAGTACTAAATGGAAATATCAAAAATAAAACAGATTTTGGAATACTTTTTTTTTTTTTTTTGAGACAGGATCTCACTGTGTAATTCAGACTGCCCTGGAATTCACTATGTAGCCCAGGCTGGCCTCAAACTTGCAGTGATCCTCCTGCCTCAGCCTCCTTGAGTGCCTGGCTAAAATAATTTTAAAAGAAAAAAAAAAAAAGACAATCAGAGCACCTGTGAGTCATGGGACAACTTCAGTCAGTCTAATAAACCGACCCAGGGGGTGAGGGGAAAGGGAAGCAGAAAATACATAAAAGGCTAGAAAATTTTCCAAATTTGATAGAGACTATATAAGTCCACAGGTCCAAAAGGCTCAACAAATACCAAGAAACATGAAAAAAAAAATCCCAAGGCATAATCATAATCTAATTGCTTAAAACCATATTAATTATACAGGTGAGATAATTGGCCCAACTCTGGTTCCTATGATATAAACAAGAGCCAAAATGGATAAGAAACAAGTCAGGTGTGATAGTTCATGCCTATAGTAATCTCAACACTGGGAAGGCAGAAGCAGGAGGATTGCAGGTTTGAGGCCATCCTAGGCTATGTAGTGAGTTGAAGGCCAGCCTGAACTACATAAGCAAGAACCAGTCTTTTAAAAAATGTATAGGGAGCCAGGGATTTAGCTCAATGGTTCTGCCACCTGCCTCACGAGTGCAAGGTCCCGAGTTCAAGCCCTGGTACCAAAATAAATAAATAAATAAGTATAGGGCCAGGAATGTAGCTTAGCAGCACCATCCCTGCCTGGCAAGCACAAAATCCTGAGTTTAATCCCCGGTACCAGGGAAAAAAAGTTATTTTTTAAATAAATTTTTAAAGTGTATAAGAAATAAAGTACTGACTTTTTAGGAAACCCAAAGGTTGGAGCTACTTCACAATAGAATTTCCAATTGTAAAGCAAGAAGCTTTTGGAGCCTATCATAAGACTCCAAACATGTTACATTTAGCCGGGCGTGGTAGCGCATGCCTGTAATCCCAGCACTTGGGAGGCTGAGGCAGGAGGATTGCTGTGAGTTCGAGACCAGCGTAGGCTACATAGTGAGTTCCAGGTCAGACTCAATTACATAGTGAGACTCTGTCTCAAAAACACCAAAACCAAAACAAAACAAAACAAAACATGTTACATTTAGAAATTTTATTGCAAATCCACTAGTTAGAGTTGACCTAGCATTATAAAAGGTAATGAGGTTCCCATGTTAACTCATAAAGGTTACTTAGTATCCTCAAATTAGACAAAACAGTATACATTTAAAATAAAACAAAACAGGGCCTGGGATTTAGCTCGGTGGCACAAGCACAAGGTCCTGAGATCCATGCCTGGTACCAAAAAATATTTTTAATTAAATAAAATAAAACACAATAGAAAGTAAAAAAATAGTGCAATGTATGGCTAAGACATAATTTTTATTCACCTTAAATTTTAATGCTGTGACAAAAACATTTTTAAACTGGAGTAAATCAGAGGAGAAAGAAAGTGTGTAAAGGAGAAAGTGAAATTACATTAAATGGCTTACTATATCCCAGGTACTGAGTATACATACTCCCACTACCTTGAAGAGTAGGTGTCTTCCCTACTTTATGGATAGGAAATAAACCCAGGGAATAGCCAAGATAATACGATTCATACTGAGTTCTGAAGAGATTTCTGGGTCTGTCCAGGCTGGTCCACTGTTTATTTGGTCCACTATGTCTTTAAAAAAATTGCTTTTGCTTTAACTCATTCTCCTATCCTGCATTATTACTCTATTTTCTGGCTTGTTTGAAGCTTATTTCTAGATTGAATGGGTCCAAATGATAAGAAAGAAAAGGACAGCTTTTTTAGCACATATTCTAGTAAAATATCTGGATAAGAAAAGGGGAGAAAGAAACAGAGTTAAAGAAATTATGCTCATGTCAGGTGTGGTAGTGCACGGCCCATAATCTCAGCAATCTGGGAGGCTGATGCAGGAGTGCAAATTTGAGCCCAACCTGGGCAATTTAGCAAGACCTTGTCTTGAAATAAAATTAAAGGGCTGGAGATGAACTCAGTAACGCCTGGTTTTAAGCACAGTACCGAAAAACAGACAAAACTCACTTTGGGAAGAAACTATATCCAAGAAGATAGACATAATGTGTAAAATAATAGATCAAAGAGTAAACAAAAGCTCATGAAATACAAATGATCAAGGAAAAGATCTGATTTTTTTTTCTAACACCGGGTCTCCATCTATAGTGCAGGGTACCCTGGGACTTCCTATGTAGCCCGCTGGGCTTTAATTGACAATCCTCCTTCCTCAGCCTCCCCAGGCATGTGCCACCAAATAGGCTTAACTTTTGAGTGGCAACCATAAGGAGAACATGTTATACTTCTCAACAACAGTTAGCCCTATCCTCAAGCAGGGAAACAAAATGACCACATTGAAAAAGAGAAAACATCAGGATAAGGGAGTGCGAACGTGATCAGAGTACAATATATGCAGTATAGAAATGTCAGCGTGAGACCCATTAATATATACAATTATTATACATTAACAACTATGATTTTAAAGTAAATATTAATTTACCAAGGAGGGGGAAAACAGAAGAGGAAAGATCAAAACAAAGTTTCAAGTATCCTGCAGTCAGTAAATGCCTAGATTGGTGGGCACTGTGAATACTCAGAGCTCTGACCAGAATTTTTTCCACACTGGTATTCAAAGTGCCTCTCCAGTGTGAATTTTCCACCGTAGAAATTCCATCTCATGGTCTTCCCACACTCGCTGCGTTTATAGGGTTTCTCGCCCGTGTGAACTCTGATACAGAGAAATCTCTGCCTCCACCTGAGGACTCCATCAGAAGGCACCGAGATCCCAGGTCTTTCCTCCACTCGCTGCACTCCTGGGATCCCCTCCTTCAGCGGAATGGAACGAAGATCACAGCGCTGACTTTGACAAGGCCCCTACTCATTCCCAGTACCAGTTCAGCTTAGCCAACATAAGCAGCCGACCAAAGCCATACAAGCATTTTTCTCCTTTCTTAGTAATTATCTGGGTAATCTACCCAGGCGCTGTCCAAGATCTCTATCCATTTCCAACATATCATCTCCTTCTCCAATCAAAAGGTTTCAAATTATCCAAAACACACTGTGGGGGCTGGGGATTTAGCTCAGTGGCTCTGCTCCTGCCTCGCAAGCGCCAGGTCCTGAGTTTGATCCCCGCTACAGGAAAAAACAAAAACAAAACAAAACACACTGCTGACGCCAGCACTCATTAACTCACACCTGTCTTCTTGTCCCTCCAACGGTCCCAAAGTGTCATCTTTCTTTCTAACGCCAACCCTATCTTCCGTACTTTGACGCCACCCTTTCCCACCACGACCAAATTAAAATATGTTATTAATTATGTAATAGGCCTGCTGGCACTCCAAAAGCACCTTGACTGCGGCAAAGACTCAATAATGAATACTACGCTGAATGAATAATACTTATCAACTGCAAATCGCAGGAAACGAGCGGGGTCATCTAGCGCGCAGAGCAGGGAATCGGCCGTTGTCTCGGAGTCTGCTCGCTCGTCAGAGGACCCGCCCTCGCCGGATCTCAGCCAATCAGCACGTCCCCCCCGCCCCCAGCTCAGCCCTCCGGCCCCCGGGTTCCCTAAGGCCCACAGGCCGGGTCCACCCGCTCCGACAGTGGCCTCTGCTGCAGACCCCCGGGTTGGGACTACTGCCTCCTTTCTCGGGCTCCCGCTTGTTCCCGGGCCTGGCTGGCGACGACGCGCTTTTTGAGACTTGGAGGACACCGGTAAAGTTGAGTCCACCAAATGAGAATCGCCTGCAAAGCGTGTTGTGATACAAGCAAAAAATGTGTTGTCACTCGATACTGTAGGACAGACTGAGTCGCGGCCGGCTCCTTGAACAAAGCCCCGGGCTGGGAGACAAGAACATGGGGTAGGAGGCCCAGTGGCCTGCAAAGGGGCGAGCTCGGTCTCTCTCCTCAGGCGCCCTCTCCCTTCTCACCATGTATCCATCCCAGCTTTGGAGTTTCGGGAAGAGGTGAGCGAGGTAGGATTGACCCGCAGACCGAACACCGAAGTCCTTCCTGCGTCGCAGCGCTGACTGCCGCCTGTGTTCAAGTCCCCACGACTCTTTTAGATCCTATCCTAGCGCAATGCCGTCACCTCGCAACAAGTGGACCAGGCCCACTTGGGCTCCCTACTCAGCTTTTCACCAGAGCGTCCCGCCCCTTTCCACGGGGCCAGCTGCCGCCCATTTTCAGAGCTTCACTCTGGCGGGTCTTTTTAACACTTCATCCACAAAGCTGAGTGATGCATGAAAGAAATTACTGTAGAAATTAATTGGTAATTTTTTGGTCCGAAGTTCACTTTTAGGAACCTCTAAAGGACTACAGGGATGGGTTTAAAGTGGTCCATGAATTCCCTGACCCTAAAATGTACATTTTTCTCAGCAGAGCTTTTCTGATTTTCAAATATTCTTGATTTAACAAGGTGGGAATCTGCCTTAGAGGTCACTAAGGCGCTAAATTTTTTAAAAAATTGACCATCCAGATAATCATAGTGAAGGAAAATGTGCATACATGTAGACAGGCACATGCAATAGCTCTGTTTTCTGTTATGGAACATAAAGGACCTCATCAAGCAAAGCAGATGAAGCAAAGTATGAATACTGTATTAAAAACTGTTAGGGCTGGGGATTTAACTCAGTGGTTCCAGTGCCTGCTTTGCAAGTGCAAGGACCCGTGTTCGAACCCCAGTACCACAAAAAATAAATAAATAAAAACCAACTGTTAGAGCAGCAGGGGTAACTGGGTAAGGCTGAAATTTAATGGCAGAGGTGAAACTGGTACAAGGTCATATTAAGACCTTAATGAAACGTACTGGTTTGGCATAACAAACATTATAAAGCCAAATTGTAAAGACATTTTATTTATCTAAAATGTTAAGGAAGAAATAAAATGTACATGGACATAGCTTCAAATTTTCTGAAGGATATTTCTGGGTATTTAGATAGGACTTTGATTGTGAGGCCTGTTTTAATGGGAATGAAATTAAGACAATTCATGACTTCCTTGATGTAATTCTACTTGCACAAAGTTATGAGTACCAGTCCAAATCATGACCAGATATTGACTCCAATGTAGGTTGAAGAGGAAGGAAGGCAAACAGAAGGAAGAGGACTCATCCTGAGATAAATGACAAGTGAAGAGGAGAGGGAATGTTGTTATAAGATGTGTACAGTGTACTTAAGAAGATGGAGATAATTCCCTTCACCAGAATTCCTCTTAGGAAAGCACCATATTTTGAAGATTCTCAAGAATGACATTAAGACCTTCCCCTTCTTAAGAACATGCTCAGGTCCAAAAAAAAGCTGGTTACCAATATTCAAATAAAGGGATTGTTAACCTAAGGGGCCTTTACTTGGTGGGCAGTGATAGATTTAAGGTAACTAAGCTAGGTGCACAGAGTGTGGGTAAATGGATTGGATACTGGACAAGAAGGAAAAAGGAGCTAAGGTGGCTGAGCCATGAGAGGGGAGGACAGAAAAAAAACCTGTTTGGTCAAGAAGGGACTGTGTGTGTGTGTGTGTGTGTACTAGAGATCAAACTTGGGACCTTACGCTTGCAAGGCAGGTGGCAGCACCACTGAGCTAAATCCCTAGCCCCAAGAAAAGACTTCTGAGAACAGAATGTCTAATAGGATATACAATATGAACCCTTCTCCAATTTTTACACATCTTCAATGAAATTCTTTTTATTCATAGATGTGTCTGTGTAGGTAGATTCTTTGGAGAGAGCTTGAAGAGGTGCTGAGTTTTATAGCAGGGCTAGGAAGTGAATGTGGAAATAATTATGTGAACACACAAAAAACACAAGTTAAATAGATAGGTGACATGCATATTTCATATGAGAAAGATGGTCTCGGCCAGTGATGGCAAATCTTTTAGATACACACAGCCCACTGAGCACACGTGTCATAGGTTCACCACCACTGATCTAGGCTTGAGCAACAAAGGAATGAGAAAGCACACTGTACTTATAATAATCTTAAAAGGAGAGGTAAGTCAAAGAGCTTCTCCTGTCAACAGTCTTGACCCTTAGAGGCAGAGTTACTTGGAAGAATACAGAAGTGGCATCAACTGTTCATTTTCACAGCCCTACAAGCCAAACATATGAAACTGGTGAGAAACGTATGTTGGGATACAAAATAAACGCACTTTGTGGATTTGGGCTGTGACCAGCTATATTCCCAAGGATGTGATTTAAACTCATTATATATTCAAATCTATGTAGTAATTAGTAATGAAAAATGTGCAAAATTTTCAAATAAGGCAGTAATAAATCAACCTAACTGCAGCACAGAAGAGTGGTTAAGAGCACAAAACAGGGTTGGAGACTTGCCTCTAGCATGTACTAGCTATGTGATTATGTTTCCATTTTGTCCCACCTCATTTTCTAAGTGGGGAAAAAATACCCATATCATTGCTAATTGCACAACTTTATACATTAACTAAAAACCATTCGACTGAATGCTTAAAACAGGTAATTCTGGCTGGGGATTTGGCTCAGTGGTTCCGCTGTCTGCCCTTGCAAGCACAAGGGCCTGAGTTTGATCCAATAATAATAATAAAATAATAATAATAATAATAATAATAATAATAATAATAAAAACAGGTAATTCTGTGGTAAATTATATTTCAATAAATCTGTTTTTTAAATAGTAGCCACAGCACAGAGATGCTGTGAACATAAAAATGTACACTGTCAGGCACTGTGCCTAGCATATAGTAAATAATAAATATTAGCAGTCAGTATTAGTGTTAACAGACATTAAAGAATAGAAAAATGAAGATATGTAAATTTTGATTTAAAAAAAGAAATCTATGTGGCTGGTTGAAACTTCAGAGATCATAATTCAACTCTTCTCATTTGACAAATAAGAAAATTATAGACCAGCAGTTGAAGTGCTTTATTCAAGGTCCAGCTCAGAACAGACCCCAGTCCTGCTGAATACTCATTAGAGCAATTTCTACTACATCCACTGCCTGAAAACATAAACACATGAAAAATGGAAGATGTTTCCTTAAAGAACAGATATATGTAGAATGCTAAAAAAATATATGAAAAGATGTTGTAGAAAGAAAATGCAGGACCATCAAGCAAACCAAAAAGAGACTGTCACATCTGGGCCCAGCAGCAAAGACCCCAACCAGTGGGGTCCAGTTTAGGAGAGACGAAGTGCTTTGGCAAGGTTAGTCCCCCATTTAGTCAGATGAATTGGTTAATCCCTCTGGCCAGATGTCTGGCAGAGGAGACACTGCAACAATCCTCCTACTTCTTCAAACACCAGTACCTGGGACCAAAGTTAATGCAGAATTCTTGGGCACAATCACTCTGAGCAGTCTGAAGTAAGTATCTGCCCAGGAGCCCTTTCTGCCATGCTGAATAGGCTGGCCTCAACTGTTTATACCCTGACATTGCCTAATCAGCCACTCTGGATTCTAAAACCTTCACTTATAATCCCGTACATTGCCTGTCAGTTTCCACTTTCAGGGCATCCTCTCACAGGAATGAAGAAGCCTACCAAGACATGTGAAGATAACCATGCTTCCTACTGTTTCATTAATCCTGCCATCTTCTAAGGGAACTTGGCAGCATAGCTAGAAGATTTTGAAGCTAATAAAATCTTACTAAATCATTCCAAGACTAAACAGTGGACAGAAGAATGAAGTATATCGTCTAGGTCATGACTTCCTAAGACTTCAGGGGATAATGTTCAATGAGTCAACTCTGTAATTCTTACAAGCTGGTGAATCCTATTCTCCCATTTTCATGAAGAGCAACAATTTAGGCTAGATGGCATGTGCAGACCCCTAATGTTATGTGATCCACTGGGGGAGGAGGAAGAAAAGGGAAGGAAAGAGGGACAGAGGAGAATTAAGGCCTGAAACAGCTTTTATGATTTAACTCAGTACAATGAAATTTCTCAATGAATAGTTCATAAAAGTGCCTCATCTTTTAAAACAACTGTTAGAACAAAAGTCAGTAGAACAGAGGAGACTCTGTCCATTCATTTATCTGAGAACACAGGGTGCAGATTATGAACAAATTACTAAGTCCAACGTCAGCCTTTCTGCAAAAGGCTTTCCTATTTTGCAAATCACTCCATACAGTGAACACTCTGATGTCGGAGGAGGTGAGAGCTCCGACTAAAGGTCTTCTGACACTCTTGGCATTCGTAAGGTTTCTCTCCAGTGTGAATTCTCTGATGTATGATAAGTTGGGAGTGCTGGCTGAATGTTTTTTCACACTCATTACATTCATAAGGTTTCTCTCCAATATGAATTTTCTGGTGAAGCAGCAGCTCAGAGTTATCCCAAAAGGTTCTTGCACACTCATTACACTGATGAGGTTTCTCTCCAGTGTGGATCCTCTGGTGGACAATGAGGTGAGAAGTCCGCCTGAAAGCCTTCCCACACTCAAAACATTCATAGGGTTTCTCTCCAGTGTGAATTCTCTCATGTCTAAGAAGTTCTGAATTCCCCCTAAAGGCCTTTCCACATTCTTTACATACATAGGGCTTCTCACCAGTATGAATTCTAATATGTCTAATAATCTCTGAGTTCTGGCCAAAAGTTTTACCACATTCATTACATTCATAGGGTTTGTCCCCTGTGTGAATTCTTTGATGCCGGATAAGCTCAGAACTCTGACCAAAGCCTTTCCCACATTCGTTACACAGATAGGGTTTTTCTCCAGTATGAATTTTCTGGTGTCTAATAAGACCTGAGCTATGTTTAAAGGCTTTGCCACACTCATTGCACTCATGGTATCTTTCTTCAGTATGAATTCTCTGATGCTGAATCAGCTGTGAGCTGACCCTAAAGGTCTTCCCACATTCATTACATTCATAAGGTTTCTCTCCAGTGTGGATTCTCTGGTGTAAAATAAGGGCTGAATTCTGACTGAAAGCTTTACCACATTCTTCACATTTGTAGGGTCTCTCCCCTGTATGAATTCTATGATGGTGGATCAGATGGGAACTTTGGATGAAAGCCTTTCCACATTCATTACAAGCAAAGGGCTTCTCTCCAGCATGAATTCTCAGATGCCTTCGAAGGCTTGAATTAGTTCCAAATGTCTTTCCACATTCTTTACATTCAAAGGGCTTTTCTCCACTATGAACTCTCATGTGCTGGATGAGATGTGAGTTCTGATTAAAGGCTTTTCCACACTCTTTACATGTGTGAGGCTTTTCTCCCACAGATGTCTGTTGTGTTTTGTTAAGTTCTAAATTCTCTATGAAGTTTCGGCCAGAGATAGCAAATGTACTAACCCTCCTTGCTGTAGCATCTCCCTGATATGTCATCAGTTTTGGGCTGGGACTGCAACCTCGATCACTCTCACTATTCTCCTGGTCTTTCTCACTTGAAGGTGACTTTTTAAAGATAATCAATCCTGATGTGAAGTCCCTCCTCTCTGGAGACTGCTCTATAAGCTCTTCTGAGGACTCTCTCAAATGTCCCTCTAATATGTCTTCTTCACATGCTGCTCCAAACTCACGACCTACTTGATAAACCACTCTTGGAAGTTTTTCTAATGTTGGTCCATATGGCTGGGGTTCTTCAGAAATTTCTTCCTTGGGAATCATCCCTTTGTTCTCAGTCCCCATCTCACAATCTGAAATGAAAGAGAATAAATACGTGAAGTAGCTGTATCCAATTAAATAAAGTTAATGCAATAGAAGTACAGAGCTTTGGTATAGTGCTAATAACACTCAAAAACAGTCTTACCATCTGGTGGAGACAGAGATTTATGATTATTGTGGACAATCTAAAGAGCAAATGCAGACTAAAATAGAGAGCAAAAATGATTGGAGGAAGAGATGTGAGGGCAGAAATAGAAAATAGAATGTAAAGAGATGCTGATAAAAGTCTCATAACAACAATGAGTTAAGGTGGAAGCTAAGGTTGGTAAAAGAACATTCAAAGAAAATGATAGCCATAGTAATAGATGGATATATGGGAAAGGCTGAAACAGACAAATTAATAAAAATCACATTTGGATTTTTAGACAAAGTAACCACAAAATGAGTCAAAATGTTAATGTGACTTAACAGAAGTAACCACCTTTAACTCCTTTTATTTGGATGAAGTAGGGTCTAGCTTTAATTTTTCCAGATGGCTATTTAATTGTATCAATACTATTACTAAATAATTCTTCTTTATATTTCTGGATTCCATTCAGTTCTGCCTATCTGGTTTTCACTAATACTAAATTGTTCAACCTCCTGCTGGAGCTTTATTAAAATTTTTAATATATTAGAGAAAGATATCCGTTCTTAGTGTTCTTTTGTATACATCTGTTTATTTTCATATTTTCCCAAATAAATTTAGTGTAATTTTGTAAAATTTCCAAGTTTGGCCTGATTTCTGGATTCCATTCAGTTCTGCCTATCTGGTTTTCACTAATACTAAATTGTTCAACCTCCTGCTGGAGCTTTATTAAAATTTTTAATATATTAGAGAAAGATATCCGTTCTTAGTGTTCTTTTGTATACATCTGTTTATTTTCATATTTTCCCAAATAAATTTAGTGTAATTTTGTAAAATTTCCAAGTTTGGCCTGATTTTGTTTTTATGTCCATCCTGTCTCTGTCTTTTCATTTAGCCAATTTTTCTTATATTTTTTAACTGGTTACTTTTATATATAGTAGTACTGTTGATCCTTACATATTAATTTTGTAATTGGCCCTGTCATAAAATTTTCTTAATACTTTTATAGTTTGTTTTGTTTTTTGTACTGGTAATTGAACCCAGGGCTTTTGCACTAAGCTACATCCCCAACTTTGTTTGTTTGACAGAATCTCACTGAGTTGCTAAGTTGCCTAGGTTAAGATGGAACTTGTGATCCTCCTGTCTTAGCCTGCAAGAGTGATGGGATTACAAGTGTGTGCCATCACATCCAGCTCTTTTATAGCTTTTGAGTAAATGTTTTAAAACTTTCTAAAGAGCTATGGGAAAAAAATTTTTAGTGGCCAATCCCAACATTTATGCTTCTCCATCTCCTTACAACAGAGTAATAATTTATTGTTGGGTTTGGTCATATGGCCAAATTCTGATCAATGGATAATGAGATGCAAATGAAAGCACAGAGGAAATCTCCTTAAAGTTGCAGATAAATATTTCTTTACTTTCTTCTTCCTTGCTATTCCTGGAGCATGATGTGATAGTTGGAGCACCATCTTGGACCATGATTACACCAGTATACCAATAGACCTGGGATCAGAGATGGATGGAACCAAGGGTCCCCCATGACTCCAAGTTGCCATATGAATACTGGAATGCCCGCCTCTGAGATCCTTTTGTCCAAGAAAAGAAAAAAAGAAATGGGGGGGTATGGGCAGGCAGAAAGAGAAAGACGGAAGAAGGGAAAAGGAAGGAGCTTTTGCTTAAGCTATTGTGAGTTTTTTTTATTATATGAAGCCAAACCTATTCCTAAATAATACAATTGTCCTGGAAATTTAGTTAACTCTATTATAGAAGTTAAGTCCCAATTGTCATAGTGGCGACCATAGCAACATAGAAAATGAAAGAATACTTGGAGACTGGACTTAGTTCAGTCACCAAGAGGGCCAGAGGGGCTACTCAACCAAAAGCACCCAGAGTTTAGAGACTGCTAATGTAATACCAAAGCCAAGAAGTCTTATGTTTTTACTTAAAATATTGGTGTAAGAGAGAAAAGCAGTTTGAGCAAGGAACTGTCTCAAGGTTAGGCAGGTTCCTTGGGGTAAAGGGGAAGGACAGTGGGCCAGACACAACATGACTCACTAATCTAAATTTCTTGCTGTTTAACCTTTCATTTCTCAAAGAGCCTGCATGTTTTGCCCCACAGTTTAACCATTCACTCCTTGGCCAAGACCCCCCACACCAATGATGGGGGAGTAAGCCTGACTTGTGCTCAGGTACTGAGCAACCTGGGCTAATATGAAAGTAATCCTTTGTATCAGGCAGTGTATTTGTGCATCACAACAAATTTGAGGAATATAATTCTCCCATTAGTAAAAGTGTTAACCATGGAAGATAATACTCATGAAGTGGGGGCAGGTAGGAAGGTATGGAATTTTATCCTAGTGGAATTGCACACTAGTGGACCATTGGTAGCTGAAATAGAAAGCTGTAAGCCATGATATAGGGAAATCAACTAGGAGGCTGATGCAGTCATCAAGGTAAAAAGCGGTAAGATCTAACTAAAGGAATAGTAGCAGGAATGAAAAGAAAATAAAATGGAGGAATATTTAAGAGTCAAATTTTTCAAGACTTGGAAAGAGATTAAATACAAGGTATAAGGAAGAAGGACGATCTCCCTTAATTTGAGGATGTTAATTAGGTAAATGGTGGTAATATTACCAAGATTTGGAATACTGGAAGAGCTAGTTTAGGGGGGAAAAGGATGGACAAGCTCCATTTTGGACAAGTTGGGTCTCAAGATAGCCATTTAGAAGTTATCAAGTGACCTGTCAAAACATTTTGATCTAAAGCTTAAAGTAATCAAAACTGGAGATATAGACTTGAGATTACTCAGTTTAAGTATAGTGTGAGAACTGACAGACTGGGAATAGAAACTTAAGAGCCAAAAGTAATGGGCAACAGTATTCCATTGATTTTCCATTTTCTCCCTTTCCACCTTTCTTCATCCTATTTTCTTTCCCAAAAGGCCTACTTGTATGGCACACATCATCAACAGGCCCTCTAGCTTCCAGATGTTTTCCACCGGGGAGCCTCACTGGGAGACTGGAAGGAAGGAGGAGAGGGCAGTCAGGGTATTTATTCTCCTGGTTCCTTTCAGTGAAGTTGCCTTGGGCTACTGGTGACCCTCGATTGAAAATCATTATTCCTCTCAAGTAGTCTGCCAATTGTTGTACTGCTTCTGGTAACCTCTGCTACCTCTGGTCTCCTCAGGCCAGGGTTGGTAATCATTCCACTGCTGCCAGCTCCAGGCTCCTCAATGCCGGCTCATACTTCTGTCAAATTACCCAAATTTGAGTGGATTATATGTTTTCCTTTCATACCCTGGTAATAAAAGAGTGAATGGAGAAAGAAATCTGCCAAGAAGAGAAAAAAATTAGCAAAGTAGAAGAACCAGAATATAATGTCACAAAAGCCAACAAGATAATGGCAGAGGGAATTAAAAGTATCAAATGAAGCTGAGAAATCCAGTAGAATAAGAACTAGACAATGTTTACTGGAATAATTAGAAAACTACAGATGAAGTAGAAGCCAGGCAGTAGAGACTGCATAATGAATTTGCCATTCCTTTAAAATTCACAAAAAGACCAAAATGGACAATAATATGAGTCAAGGTCAAGGATTATCTTAGAAGGTGTGTGGTTTATATCTAGATGTTCTCCCGAAAGCCTCATGTGATTATAGGCGGGGCTTTTAGGAGGTGATTAGATTATGGAGCCATGATACTCATCAGTGGAATCCACTGATGATGAGCTTACAGCTAAATGTGATGTTGGGAGGTGAAGCTTGGTACGAAGACATGAGTTACTTGGGGGGTAAATTAAATTATGGGTGATAGGTATTGTGTCTTGGCTATAAGAAAGCAAGGCAGAGGGATAGTACCAACAGAGACAGAGGTTAAGAGGAAAATGAGTTTTTTAAGAAATGAAGACCCTGAAAGAAAAAGAGACTGGGGTCAAGTGGTGAGGGAAGGGAAAGTGGTGATTTTTTTTATATTGTCCTTTTTTCTCTTCCTAGCCTCCTATCATCTATAGGATATTGCTTGCTATCACCATCCTGCCATGGAGTCTCCCTAAACAATTGTATCTGTACAACTGTAAGGATGCTCTATAGAGAATTTAGCTATCTTCATCCCTGGTACCATGTGAATTGGGGCATAGTGATTTAAATAAATTCTTCTCAAGATACCCAAGCAAGAACAAGTTCCACAGGCTAGTACTTCCACGTAATTCTAACTCCCTCTCTGGTCTTTCCTTTTCATCCTCATATCTCCTATATGCTTGTAATCTGAGCTACTCAGGAGGCTGAGGCAAAAGGACCAAGAGGTCAAGGTCAGCCTGGGTAATTTAGTAAGATCCTTTTTCAAAATAAAATAAAAACTACTTGGTGGTAGAGCAGTTTCTTAGCTGTATGTGCAAGGTCCAATGTTCAAACTCTAGTACCCACCACAATTTTTTTTCATAAAGTTTTAAAACTGAGTCTGATCTTCCACACACCATTCTTTTATTTTGAATTCTGACAGTGACACAACACTGGTGTCATTTGTTAAATATTGCTTTGAGGGTATCCTCTCATATACAAATCAAAGTCAATCTCCATTGATTGATTTTCCCAGAGGCAAAGCTATACATTAGACCTCATCTTCACATAGAAAAACTCTCTCCTAGCCTTAATTCATATTTCCAAACACAACTTCCTATATTTCTTTATCTTCTTTATTTTTCTAAATCTAAAATGAGTTGTTTCTGAAGACAGAGGTATCTCATGAGCAGTGGAGGTTGACGACTCTTGGTTCTGTTTGGGAGATGGCATGCAGACCTCTACTGGTGTCCATAGTTTAGAATAGGATCCTCAACTCTGCATACCTGAATTGTTTTTTTAATGCACCTATGCATGGGCCTTTTGCCTAATCCCTACTCCCTTTCTCCTCCA